TATTTGTGGCTTTATTTCCGAATTATGAATTGCTGATAATACGTGAAAAAATTACGATTTCTTTCAAAAAATTTATTTTACCTTTTTATGAAAAATGTAATTCTCATTAATGTGTTTTTAAATCTTTCTAAAAATATTTTAAAATAAATTACATACAAGAAGCAATCATCATTAATATATACAATATAAAATTTAAATATAAGTTTCATTTAAGTACATTCAGCTGTTTAAACACAATCGTATTAACAGCCGTGTAAACATGCGTACATACGTACATATAAAAAATATTTTCTGTTCTTATTAGTCGAAACATGATCAGGGAGGCTTACATCGTGTTTGCCTGGAAACAAAATTTTCTCGAAATTTTTCTTAAGCACGATACTTTCTTTATAAAGTGGAAAGTTAGAAAGCCTCAATACAATTTCATTATTCTCGATTTTCTTCTTATTTTGACCTGTACGGTCACGTTTTTGATCTCCTAAAATATTTACCACCAGTGGGTAAACACATTGTATAAATTATACCATGTAGGTATTAGATGTCTGAAGAGGATTGCGAAGGACAGTTAAAACGTTAAGTGCTTTTTTTCAAAGATATAAAATATTTCTTTCGTTGCTCAAACGAGAACACAAAATACTGCTTTACAAGAAATAGTATATCCTTTGGTAAACAACAATTTTTTAACGATTGGATATAGCTGCTACTAATTTCTTATTATTGATGACAAAATTTTGTTTATAATTAAAAACAGTTTTATTTTGTTTTTGATTACTTCGGATGCTCAAACAGTTTTAAATTCAACAATTATGTTGGCGTATGTAATAATTTTAAGTCGTTGTACAGAAAATAATATACAGTGAACGGTTGCCACTTTTCAGTAGAAAACTGCAAGTTTGTTTTGTAAAATATTAAGATACTTAATTTTGTTATAATTATATCGATAAATTCCTTATTGTTATCTTCATTAATTACTATACAACCTCCTCAGTATCGATGCTTTATCGTTAAAACTGTTTTATTTTTATTGTATTTTATATTTGACTTTCATTCACATAATACTTTTATCATTCGAATTAAATAAATTAACTTTTACTTTATCGAAAAACATTACATTGTTTCAGAAACATGAAAAATAATTTATATATTTTTTTATGCAAATTCTAAGTATTTTAATGGATTTAGTTTTAGAGATGTAAGGTTTTTTTAATTTTGTTCTCTGATTATAATGTAAGATTCGATGAATAGTTTTCGATAGTAAGGGCTAATTATCAAGGAATATAGAAAAAACCAGTTAAGTGGATATCCCATAGCTAATAACTAATATTTTAAGAAAAAAAAAAAAAAAACAGTGAAGGAAATTCCAGAAACTATTGCATCTAATCCCGTTCGAGTTAATATTGACCGAAAGTCTCCATTGGATACGAGTTGATCTAATGTGCTAGGTATTTCTAGCGATGACAGTGTTTTTAGGCCAGCTTTTCACAAACATACGCGCTTATTTTTAAGTGACAAATAATAGTTGCATTCTATTTTCTACCTTTTGAAATGTGTTTAACTACAAAGTCTACTTTTTTATTTATATTCGACTTTCTACTTTTTGAAATATATTTAATTCCAAATTTAATTTTGATTAGAAATTCGAAAAGAATTGTATCCAAGTACAGTTAAATATATACATATGTTAAAAACTTACATGTTCTTTGGTTTTTTAAATAGTCTTTTTTTTTTTATTTGTTTTATTCTTATTTTAGAAAGCTATAGATGGCATATATCCTCTATTTTTTCATAATTAATATCTGATTTTGCCTAATTTTTTTCTTTTCTTTTATACAATGTTCTTTGTGAAATAATAGTATAGTAAAGTATCTAACAAATTACTAATGTTATCTAATTTGTAATATCCCAAATAAGAGGGGCGAATGACCAGTTAACAAATTATGCTTATGACATGTAATTTTGATATTTTCGACTCAGTCTTCAAAGTAAAAAAATGTCAGCGTATAAATATTTTGCAGCAAGTATTCAATCGTTGCATCATGATTAATATATGTATAAAATTCTAGAATAAATTATTTAATCTATTCGTTTACAGATTCATTTTATGATTGATGTCAATTTTGTGATCATTTCAAGAATACAAAATGTAATATGAAATATTAAATATCAATGGCGTGTTGCGAATTCAGAATACTGAAGATGAATGTAATTAGAAATATTCCAAAATATAGCAATGCTTTCCTGCAACGTGAATTACAGTAAAGACAAAAGAGGAGAAAAATGGGTGCTGTGTTTCATGTGTTTCGTGTGGGTACATTGTGAATGTGCTGGATGTGACTTTGAAAGTTACACTTCTGACTACTGGAAATAAATTTTAGGACTTAGATAAAATTCATATTTATTTAAGATAATTGTTTCTATGCTGTGGTTTTTGTGCCTGATTAAATCATAAGGGAAAATAATTTTACTATCTACTTAGTTTTTAAAATTTTATTAAGGTTATTTGGAGTATCATTATTCCAAATGCATCTTAAAAAAATCGTCCCTTTATGATATTATGCAGTGTTATTTATTTCTATCCTCTACTGTAATTTTCTATTCATCCTAAACAAACCAGTATTTCAAATAAGCTGTACTTCCTCTGCATTGTAAAACGGTGATAGGCGATCTCATAGAGTGTAAAAAGAACTCTACTCTATGTGGGATCAGTATTATTAAAATCAGCATAGGATGTCATAATATCCATGTGAATAATTCTATTATTTCAAGAAATAGATCGAACAACGTCCGACTCTCGCTTCTATCGTAAAACTGAGGGGTGAAAGATTTGTAAACCCGGCCCGACGATTGTGCTCAGTATCCGTTTTAAGTCGATTCCTGTTCCAAGCTTTCGAACTCGGAACGGTTATCGTAGTATCATGACGGTGTGCCGCCAACGGCAACCTGTCACACGCTCGACAATGGCGTCCTGCCGACGCCGGTAGTCAGCCGGTACGCGGGCGCCGTGGCGCCAGTGTCGCTTATCCCTTCCCTTTTGATTTCATCCGCCCAGGCGGTCTTCTCTCGAAACCACGTCCTCCCTGGGTGTGGTTCGAAACCGCGTCCGAAGATCGTGTACAATTTTCAAGCCGTGTGTTTCGTGTCTTGTTCGAATAAATTCAAACGTGTCTACCTCGAGCGTGGTGACGAACGTGTACGCTGATTCGCTGCCGCGTGCCCTTACCGAGAGGGTAACGTGCAACAGACGAAGAGAGAGAGTAGGGTAGAGTACTAGCGTCAGAGCGAGACACGGTGAGAGAGAGGAGAGGGTCAGAGCACGAGAGAGACAGACGAGTGGGGCGAGCCACGACTGTTCATCGATTCTTTGCTTCGACGGTTCTGTGAACGCGGCATGAAAAGAGAACTCGCACCAATGGGCGCGTTTTACCGGTCCTCGTACGTGTGTATACGTGTGGATCTACCGTGGTAGAGAAGTGCTCCTCTTTTCGGCTTTCTGACGGAACATCTTCGCGGGAATTTCCGGCGTTCCATCGACGGCGCAATCTGGCGGTAGAAGTCGGGTTCAGAGAGGTTGCTCTTCGCCCCCTCCGTAGGAACGTTTCACGCAGAGAGGTTATGTTCGCTCGAGATCCATGACGCTCTGACAAGAGTGGAAGACGGACGGAGCGTGTAAGTGTTGGATTTTCGTTACTCCTTTCGATTCGTTCAAATTCTCTCGCGTGTGCTCCGCTAGAGCTTTCGGACATTGTACGTTGTGATATTAATCTAAGTATTTTGGGAGTTTATCAGGGCTATGGAAGTTGGTTAAAATGCTTCGTTCGAGTGGTTTTTATTAGAGACCCTCGAGGCAGAGGATATTATCAGTTTCCGAGGGTGACGGAGTTTTTAGTATCGGAACACCCGGTATTGTAGTCGGTTTCGTGATTGCTCATGCGCCGAGCGATTCTGTTGGTTCCGGAAAATGAGAACACCTTGCGTTAGATCGACAACCCTCGGATTCCCCGGGTTGTGAGACCTTTTGGAGGTGAAGGACGCTCGTTGCCACCGAATTCCGATGCAGGCTAAAAAATTAACCGATTGGGAAGAAGCTACTCACTTGGTAGAGTGAACAGCCTGTTCCCATAAGTTGATAACAAATTGTGAAAAATATGTTCAATATCGAAAGGAAGATGGTGAGTTCGGTTTTCTCAGAGCGTCGGACGACTACGTTTGTTAAATAAGTTTCCGGAAACTTCATAGATTAACCGTAGTTTGGACGCAGTCGTTAGTTAAAAATAGCAGGCAAACGTTTAGCACGATATTCTCGTGCACGCATTTCGAACACATTTTTTTCTCTTTTTGTAAAGTAAGCCGAGTGAATTTGGAAGCTCAGAATAGATAAGCAAGGGTTAATATTGGTAGAAACTGAAAGCAATATGCTATTTAATTTTATCCAGCAATTAATGATTAATGACACTCTAGTAACGTATAAACGAAAAAATATGTTCTTCGTGCCATGAATGTGCCAAGGTGGATGAAAATAGAACTGTAAAAACGAGTTAGCTGTACTAGTAATTATAGCACTTTTACGAAATGTTAATAATGTTACTAGTCCTTTACCCAAAGAACGAATGCTCATAAAAATTAATATACAGCAACCGGTATATTATTTTTTATTTATCGAGTACTTCGAAATCACGTTTGATGTTTGCATGAATTATAGTGGTATTAACGTGTATTCTATATTGGTTACATACAATTTAAATTTGAATCTCAGATTAAATCTATAAAATTTCTCGTTTTATTATAGCGCACTTCGTGGCTGTACCAAATCAATCAAACGCTTAAAAATAGAGGTGTAGAGGGCGGCCATTATCAAATATTTAACTCAGAAAAAAATCTGCATGGCTCATTTTTGGAGCAGGTTAAATTTGAATCTCTATTCTATGTTTTCCTGTGGAAGCGAAAACTGTACACAACAACCGGAACACTTAAACAAATAATTGTTCTGAATTTGTTATTAGGGGTGGCAACGGTCTCGCTAGGAGGTGTCGAAGCTGGCGCGAGGGGCGGGAGAGTCAGCGGTGGCCTGGCTCTGGTTCCGGTGGTAGCGGCGGAAACGGAAGCCGCGACAGCAGCAGATCAGAGAGGACTGGGAAAGGCCGTTGGAACTTGCTGGAGGTGGAGATTCGATCTTCCTCTTCTCGTTTTTCTTCCTCTTATTCCCGTTCCTGGTGGTGGAAAGCTCGAGAACCTCCGTTGGCCACCGGAAGAAGCGTTGGCGGCGTGACACTGGGCCCCGACCACCTTCGTGTGAGAAGGCAAGCGAAATAAGGAGCCACTCATCCCTCAAGAACTACGTTTTAAGCTTCGTTGGGAGTGCATCGTTTCCTTCTTCACCTCCTGCTTCTCACGAGACACCCTTTTCACCCTTAACCGGGTGCTCACACGATTGGCGTATCGCTAGACAGGCATCATGAGCGAGCTCGAAAACCTTCGTCAGGAGGCGGACGCGTTGAAGAATGCCATACGAGTAAGTTGGCCTTCTTTATTCCGTAAAAGAAGTTGATTGTTGCTATATACTTTGTTAGATGTTCAAGCTATTTTCAGCGTACAATACGTCGACAATGCTGAAAACAATTAGGGGATCGCTTGATAATTTGAAAGAATGAACCAAGCACCAGGGATGAATGAAACACCGTTGAATATATGTAACTTGTAGCGGAGCTTTTAATGTTTTGGATATCTTATTGTACGATAATGTTGCGTTGGTCGAGTGATCCTTTAATTCTCTTGAGCGTGCGTTACAAAAATGAATTTACAGTTCGATAAATTTGAGAGAGTCAGATCCAAATAAGTATACAAGGTGTCTCAGCATCGATGGTACAACTGACGAGGTGGTGATTCTACATGAAAAAAAAAAACAAATAAAAAATAAAGTATAACTATGGGATTAGATGGATGGATCGTGATACAAATAGCACTAATACCATTACTATCAACATGATGTGCTATGTTATCTTTGCTTATAGATTTAGTGCATGTAATTTACTTATTAAACTAACTTAATTGATACAAAAATTGTTGAAAATTGTTGCATATTTTGCACTGTTTTGCTGCATAAACAGTGTACTCTCTGAATTAGATTTGTAGAAGATATTCTGCATCTTAAAATCTTCAAATGCCAAATGATTCTTGTTTTCAATTGAGGAATGCTTAAAGTATTCTTCTTATACTCTTTTATTTGAACGTGATCCCATAAATAAAAATCAAGGGGTGTCAAATTTGGGGGTTATGGTTAGTCAAAACTGAAGATAATAACATATTAAGACAATAAATAAAATTGTGATACGTGCTGAGGGGATGAGTGTGTAAAAATGCAAAAAAACATAATAAAAATCTGTATCAAAACCTATTCATCTAAGCCATAGTTAAATGCGCGTGTATTCGGTGAATATTCAGAGTTAGTTTTCTCGACAACGAAACCTCAAATGAAAATATGTTGTTGTTTATTTTTGATTTGTTTTTTCATGCAAAATCATCCCATCTCCGGTTGTATCACCGATGCTGAGACACCCTGTATAATATTTTCCTTGAACGTTTAACGCGTTGACTGCTAAACAAATACCTGTGAAATCTTCTACGAGGCCAAAATTTTATTTTTAAACGGTTGGAGACTATATAACTAAAAATCTGTCGTGGTACTTATTTCTGTTACCTCGTCATAACTTCACGAGCCCTATCTAGATATAGTTTTTTTAATACCTCATTTTGAGACTTAACGTTTTTAGCCTCTCAGTGAAAAGTGTTGATAACAATGACATTTAATATGTTGAAGCGATAAAGTTGTTCGATCAAGTGATTTTTTATCGTCTATAGTAGTTTAATTTATAAAATGAGGTTTTGGGAATTTTCTTAGTTTTCTGAACCACGCAACTGCTTTGTATTTATTGTAGAGCGGGCTTTCATATCGCAACAGTTTCCTGTCCACGAATTATCTCTAAACCATAAGCGATAGTGACTTCTGATAGCATTAAGCAGTGATTCATTCGATCTTAATCTCCAGAATTTTGCACGATTTCGGAACCACGTCGATTTTCTAATAATTTCGTTCGCTCATTGTTACCAGACACGGTGGTCCGTTGCTGAAAATCGGCCGACAGTTTCACACATTCTCCATGTTTGCTGGCAATCTGTGAAACATCGAGGACAAAGCAACAGTTCTCCATGCAACAGCGGTGTATTGTCTTAAAAGAAAAAAGTCTAGGACGTCTCTCGGCTCGAAGTGCACTTGGCATTAAACAACCGACCCCTATTCTCCTCCTAACGAGTCAGCGATTTTTTATTTTCCACCGTGCTCGACCCTAAGGGGTTTCAATAAAATCATAAACATTATTTAAAAAAAAAAAAGTAATTTTGGCACATATTTTTTTCTGGTACTTGTCAATTCTTTTTAATGCAATTTTCGTATCCATCTCACTGATATCGGTTTTATTTATTCGAAATTCTTATTCTCTTACTTACATCATATTATACTTGTTACACATGTGTGATGTGTTGGTCGGGTATGTTCATTTCTTCGAACTCTTAAAATCAATATTCGCTATCACGACAGAATCCCTTTATAAATAGTATTATGAGATCGTCTGCTCTACCCCCTTCAAATCTCCTTAAAATTGGGCTGCGTGGCACTTATCCTATTCAAGCATGTATGATCCGAACAATGCTATTCCTTTATACTTCATTTAAAAGAGTAATTCGCGCTAGAACTTTCATCCCCATAGTAACCATAAAACGGTTTTTAAAACCGGCAATTTTCGATCAATTTGTTTTATCACTGTCGTCATAGTCATCAACCGGCTATTGTCTAGCATGGCGGTTAGGATTTAGCGCGAATTAGAAGTTCTTGCTGGTGGAATATCCTCATCGATGGCAATCGGTGGGTTCCCTGTATGGTGGAAACGTAGAAGCCAGAGGTGGTAGTGGTGTGGTGTGTGGTGGTGGTAGGGCGCGGCATAACCGTCGCTTCTCTCTGATCAATACGCCACCATTCCTCTCTCTCTCTCTCTCTCGCGCGCGCTTTCTGTCTTGTTTCTTCTCTCCGCATGTTTCGCTCTTTCTCCCTTTTTCTAGCGTACGTGAAGTTACACGCATCGTCAGGCGTGTACGGTAATATGCGGCTGCGATAAATAGAATGAACGTTTTTAACATCTCGCGACAATATTTCAACGATTCGCACGTTTCTCCTATTTATTGGCATTTACTATCCAATTCGATACGATCAAACGCAACCTCGTAGAAAAATAGTCATAAGCATTCTGCTGGAAACGTTCGTTTCTCGTATCGATGAGAAACACTGTCAATTGAGTCTCCTCAAGCAGATCGCAAACGCAATCTATGAACACGCTTGTTGCATTCTGTGTTACTTCGAAAGGTCAATCCAAAGTACCATTGACTCTCTAAAATTCGTTTTCTCCAGATCATGAATTTCTTTATTGAATCCCAGTAATTTATGGAATTTTCGACATTTTGCTTGTTTCATTGACGTAACTCGTTCGAATACGACATTTGACCTTTCGTCGGCTAAATTTGTGCACGCGCACCATGTGCTTGAACGAAATTTTCACGTGAAACTCATTAACCAACTCAATTGGTGTACATCTAAAAAATAACATGCCGATGTTAGTCTACGTAACATCTGGACTGCACCGTCAAGCTACATTCTCATTGCAAAAGTACATGACAACTAAGCTTTTCCTATTTTATATGAAATTCAAAGGACAAACAGAAAAGGCTGGTTATTTGATTAATTTTTTCTTTTTCTGTTATTCCAGGATGCCAGAAAAGCAGCATGCGACACGACGTTGGTCCAGGCCACGTCGGGCATGGAGCCTATTGGCCGGATACAGATGCGGACGAGACGCACGCTTCGTGGTCACTTAGCCAAGATTTATGCGATGCACTGGGGCAGTGACTCAAGGTAACTTGACCCATGAGACTCGATTTCAATAGAAATTTCACTAGCCAAAACTTTAAATAAAAATGTCGTTTTTATTTTGTTTGATTTATAGAAATTTAGTATCAGCGTCGCAAGATGGAAAACTGATAGTTTGGGACAGTTACACCACCAACAAAGTTCATGCGATTCCCTTACGCTCTTCGTGGGTAATGACTTGTGCATACGCACCATCGGGTAGTTATGTGGCTTGCGGTGGGCTAGATAACATTTGCTCCATCTATAGTCTTAAAACTAGAGAAGGAAATGTAAGAGTTAGTAGAGAACTCCCAGGTCACTCTGGATACTTATCCTGCTGCCGATTCTATGATGACAACCAGATTGTCACTAGTTCCGGCGACATGACTTGGTAAGAATCATTTTTCATATCTATAATTCTCTATCAAGTAAAAAGTTACTACTTACAATTCCTATTATCTACATACAAATTTGATTAGGCATTGAAACAACGAGAACAATTTTATTCAGTTTAGGGAATTTCTCTGCAACGTAGTAACAAAGGTTACATTGAATGTATGACAAAAGTATACTCCGAGTATTCATCCTTTCCCTTGATTCCCACGGGTATTCCTTCTCCTATCGGTAATTATGTCGCTCGGAAAAGTGTTTGAACCGCGACACAATGGCACATTTTTTGTTTTCAAACAGTGCCCTGTGGGACATAGAAACTGGTCAACAGTGTACCTCCTTCATCGGACACACGGGCGATGTAATGTCTCTTTCGTTGGCACCAGACACGCGTACATTCGTATCTGGCGCGTGTGACGCCAGTGCAAAACTCTGGGACATTCGTGAGGGATCTTGCAAGCAAACCTTCCCAGGCCATGAGAGCGATATAAACGCTGTTACGGTAAGAGCTTGACTTTTTTAATATCGAGCTTCTATATCTTTCGTTGCTTCTCGTCACGTTCAGTATTTTGGTTGTTATCTTTGACCCTGGCGACAAGAGAATACACCCTTCATACTGGAGGGAAAATTTTTTAAATTCGACATAATGTTCAATGTGAAACATTTTATCGTGTGTAGTTCTTCCCGAATGGATACGCTTTCGCGACGGGTTCGGATGACGCTACTTGCAGACTCTTCGACATTAGGGCGGATCAAGAACTGGCGATGTACAGCCACGACAATATTATCTGCGGTATCACGAGTGTAGCGTTCAGCAAGAGCGGTAGATTATTATTGGCCGGATATGACGACTTCAACTGCAACGTTTGGGATTCTATGAAAGCCGAACGAGCTGGTGCGTTTTTGCTTCGATTAATAAAATACATTTCAGGAGAGAAGAGAAATTTTCTTTCAAGCCCTTCTCTCTCTGTTCATTTTTCTGTTATTAGATTTTTTGTCCGAATATCTTGTAACGTCTTACCATGTCTCTGAAATTGCACTCTTGCAGAATGATGCTCTTCTTTCCTTTTTCTTTAATGTTTATAGAAATTTGTTTATCTTCATATTACCTTATTTATATATATACGGCACTTTCCATTCTAGGCACGCCCTGCTCTGATTCGATGTGTCGAGATATAGATCTTTGCGAAGTGTTTCGTTTTTATTTTGTAGGAATCCTTGCTGGCCACGATAATCGCGTGTCTTGTCTGGGCGTTACGGAGGATGGTATGGCGATAGCGACGGGCTCCTGGGACTCGTTCCTGCGTATTTGGAACTAACTTGGGGTTCATCCCAATACGTTCCTCCAAAGAACCAACTGCAGCCAATCAGCATACAGTATAAGCATTAAGTACCACCACTTGACCACCGAAGTCGGCGTGCCCGTATCCTCGATGGAGTCAAACTACTCGCCAGGTTCACCAGAGTTGACGTTGATCAGAAAGTTTGAACATCCGATAGACAGCAGCAACAGCAAGAAGAAAAGCAGTAAGAAAGGCGATAGCGTCGGCAGCAGCAGCAGCAGCACCGAATTTAAAAACGTTTTGGGTTGTGGTGGCAAAAAAGACTACCGGAGGCGCGTCGTCGATTTGAGCTGGCGACGTGGCAAAGTCGGCGATAAAATCACTCGCGAATATCAACGCTTCTAGTATGAATATCGTTCATTTGACACTCGAACGTATATAACGATGATTGAGAAAGAAGCACGGCGAAAGGAAGATCGACAGAACGGAGAGGAGCACCAAGGCTGACAGCCAAATCTCTCTGGTGTCGTGTACACGCTTCCTTTTTCTCCTCCCCTTTCTCAAGAATCACTCGGCGAACCTCCGAAGAGCACGTGCTGTTTCACACCTTGATAGCTTCTCCTCGAAGACCTTTTCCTGCCTCGAGGGTCGAGACAAGAAATCGATGATGGCACTGCCGTGGGTCGGGTGTCGTTGGAAGCGTTTTATTCGAACAAAAGGTTCCGAGCGTTCACTGCCGATGAAGCGCCGACATGGCTGCTCCGGCGGTAGATTTTATGTTCTTTTCGACACGCACGAACCAAGTCGTACCAAGTCACACAATGAAGGAACGAAAACAGTCGCTCGTGCACTGCACAAAAGCAAACGCGATCATGAAAACTATATATACATATACGTATGTCGACGACGAGCAGCCAAGGTTACGATAATCTCGCATATTGCATTCAACCTACACGCACACCGTACGCACGTGTATTAATACGTACATAGGAAACTACATACATACATTTGCACAGAAACGCGAAGTATCGTAAACAAAAGGCATCTGCCATTAAGTATACAGAGTTGGTCATCCACGAGCCCCGATGTATAAGTCACTATTTCTTGATCACGTTAAATTTTTCTTTTTACTATTTGTTTTGTATTATTCTTCAAATTTCGATCTCTTTCGTAAATCTCATCCTCTTTTGAGGGGCTAAGTCAGACGTAAAATAAAGAACAGAAACGGAGGATAAAGGATTGGCGAAGATTGCATCGTTTCTTGTATCTGTATCCGCCGAGTTTGCATTAATACCTTTGATTAATTTTTATAGATGTATCATTATTTATTTTGTATAGACCTCTGCTATATAGACCATCCTATACGTTCTTGTTTTCTTCTTTTGTTTTGAAAAGTTGAGTGAATGTTCGAGTTAAGAAATATTGTTCGAGAGTGAACGAGTTCGGATGTGCAAGAATGAGCGAAAGGTCTCGAAGGCGCGGCCCATTGCCAATCAAAATGAGAATCCAAATGAGAGAGACAAAAACAAATAATAATGATACTCCTAAGTTGTTCCTCCGGTCGATTGTTACACACTTTTCGTCGTAATTTGGATCGTCATGCATGAAAGGACACATCGTTGAAAAGAAAATGTCGCGATAAGGCCAGTTGAAACGGAGATATCCTAAATTCTATGTATTTCGCCTCGTCGTGAGTCTACGTACACACGCGAGGGACCAGCATAAAGTACGAAGAGAAGGGAATATTTAATGTAACGTGTAATCGTTTAGTTTGTAGCCTCTATTCCCTATTCCTCTATATAGAAGCAGCGAGACCGAGAAGAGTTCCTCTTATACTCTCGCCAAAGCAGAGTCCCAGATCTTTCTCCAGTATCGGTCCAACACCGAAGAGTTCTCGAACCTGCGAGGAAGGCACGTGTTCTCGACGAAAATGTCGTCCCAGAAGTTCCTTTGAAATAGGACCCAAAGAATAACGAATCGAAGCTATGGACCGCGAGACTAAACTCTCTCTCACCCTCGTCGTATTCTTCTCTTCTTTTCTGTCTTTAGCTCCTCTCCTTAGAAGTTTTATTTTTTCGCCGATTCTTTCGTACGATTGTGTTTTTACTTGTACCGTCGACTTTCCTCGTTCATCTATGTTTACTCCCTCGTCATTCCCCTTTTCACCTTCTCTGTCCCCTTTCTGTCGAAACAAAAAAATAGGTGTTTAAACTGTGTATGCATTTAAAGTAATAATATTAATGATAATGTTTAATATTAATATTAATGATGATTGTAATTTATAATTATTAATATTTAATATATAAGTATCTAAGGAGATAGCGATGGATCCACTTGTTCAGTACCGTAGACTAATGACCCAATCGCTTTCCGGCGACCACGCTATCTCGCCATCTTTTTTTTTTTTTTTTTTTTTTTTTTATAAATAAACTGTTCTCATCGGTTTCCTAACAGTGTTGCTCTTTTTGTATATTTTATTGTATCGTATTGGCCTTTGATATTCGCGAAGTGAACAATATAAGATTTTTATTTGGACGAGTGTTTATTACGCTCTTAGATAACTTTAAGTAAAACATGAAAAATATTCTAGCTGTTGATTGTTGGAAAAAAGAGCTGAATCGCGAGCAAAGAGAAGCGTGGCTTTCGGAACGCGAATAGCAACAATTGTTTTCCTAACAGATCAAGTACGTAATCTGACTAAAGAACCGTTAAGAGCAGAACCAAGAAATCTCTGACGAGAATCTAAAGACGTTAACTCTACTACATGTTACGAGATGAAGAGAAACTTCTCTTTCTTGAACAGTAACGTTAATAATCGGTTTTTTAATATAACTTTTTTCGACTAATCTCGCTTGTGTCACACGCCTCTGTATCTTCTAGCGACCAATTAGACAAAAGAAAACGATCTTTTCTCTGCATCAACCAAAAAAAGAGAACCTTCTTCCTTCGGACGTTACGATGATAAATTCGACCCACCGTTTCAAAACAAGAACAAATAAAACACATAGTGACCGCTATTCAATCTACGGAACATTAAGAGAGTTCAAGACGAAGGAAGAAGCGTACTTTGGGGGAAATATGGAAATAGATTTGTGCTTTTTGTATTTCGCGATTCCGTGGCCTCTCGGAAGAGGCTTCCCGTTTTTGTATTTCGAAGCCTCGAGCCACAGGAGCAATATGGTTTCTTATTCTTTTTACGAATACAAGTATACGTATGTATATGTGTGTGTATATATACACATGCATATACTGTCGACGAATAGCATGCAAAATTAACGATTTCTTAAGTCTCTAGTCATAGTAACGGCATGCGCAAGGGAATGCATAAAATGGAAAATAGGAAGGAGAGACAGAAGTTTGTGAGCAGAACACATTGTCGTTCTTTTAAGTTTTCCCTTTCATTTGATTTTTATCGAAATAGTCTCCCCGTCCACGAACAAGAATGCGAGAACTGTTTTTAACCATTTAATTTGTCGAGTACATGGGAACACACGTTTATTATCGAATCGATTGTGACGCATTAGCGGCGATAAGTAAACGAAGGAATTAGTCTTTTGATTTTTTTTTTTAATTTTTCTTTTTTAAATTTTTTTTTTTTTTTTTTTTTTTTTTAAATCGTAAGAGCATAAAGGTGAATAAAAGTACTTGGAAAAATGAAACGTGGCGTTTTAGTTATTTTTTTACCGCTGCTCGGCTTTCGTTATCACCCCGACATCTTCTGAACGATACACTCGACTCCGCTTAATTTTTTCGGCTTCCGTTCACGTTGATTTCCGTTTTCCGATCGGTCGGAAAGAGATCGAGGGAATTCTCTTGGGTTCTATTTCAATGTGAAAATCGTTGGACACGCGGTGTGAAACTAGAAACGAAGGGAAAAAAGGAAAGATGCCGACAAGAGTCATTTACGATGGACGACAAAAAGCCATCAAGAAAACTGCCTCTTTTGAGTTACGAGCGAATACAAAGTACGATACACATAATATACATGTAGTAACGTGTGTCATATACACAAAGAGACGTATGAATAATGCGTTATCTGCTGTTAAGCTGAACGGCAAGACGTGTCCAAGTAACACGGAGGACGGTGAAAAATGAAACGTAACTGTAAGAGGATTAAACAGGAAGGATCGACATGTACGCCCAAAAACCAACAAAAGACAACCGAGAGACATACGAAATCACTGTTAAATGATAGATAGTTACAAGAATTTCATCACTTTTTTATATATAAAAGTATATATGTATATATACATATACATACATATAATGATAATAACAACAATAATAATGATAAATTATTATCGACGGTTAGACTAGCTCATTCGAGTATCATCTTTCGCGGTCGTTGCTTTCACAGGGTGCGAAGACGGCAATTCCCGTGTTTTTACTGTCCTTGTGAACGTAGAAACTATAGTCCGTGTTCTCCAGGAAAGCGTTGATTTCTCATGAATTCGACGACAATGGTCCTTGGTCCTTGTCGCGATACGTTTTAAGTCTCGTGGGTGTTCCTGTCATCGTCATCGTCACTCATGCGACACGCCGTGGGAGAACATTTTTTCCATGGATTCGAATAGAAAGAAACGAGGGAAGGAAGAAGACCTACCCTTGGGAGCAACAAAAGTACGACAGGTGCTATACGTAGAGCGCTCCGAACTCCCAGAATAACACGCGGACAACGTAGCGTGGCCCGAGTTCCGAGGTAGTCCTACGTCGCTACGACGAAAGCCGAATAAAAAGTTCGAAAGGAAGAGAGGAATACGGTCTCGAAACGATCCTTTGGAGGTCAGCACATTCCGGAGGCCATTCGCGCCATTAAGTAGCTAAACAAGTTAGAGAAAAAATGCGCGGCGCAGCGTGTTCGTTCCAAAACCGCGGTTAAGGATATCGTCGCCCGATGAATGTTTTTCTGTACACTTAGGTATCGCCCTAGCTGTATCTGTATATCGCCACGTGCTTTTTTCAGGGAAATCGTGCGTAGAGATCCATGAAATACGAAACACGAATCGACCAATACATTCGATCAGAGCGATCCACCGCGATGCTGGATGATTTCTATGCGAGACAGAGATCAGAATCGCCGGAGACTATTATTCTTTATGTTCCCTTTTTTCCCCGCTGCGTGTACACGCAAACGTATCGAGGTATCTGATTGTCACGAGAAACGTATACGGTGACACATCCCGCATTCTATCGATTCAAAGATAGAATTTGACAACTTAGAAAATATTTTCATGGTGGGAGAACGCTGTTTTAAACGTATCAATAGATTCTTACGACCATTATGTTCCAATGTAATTCAAAACGTTAATTGATGAAACAATTTCCTTATTCTTTAGCAACACATTTGTCATTATTCTTCTATTTTTAAACAGTATGGGATGATAATACTTCCACAGGAATGTTTTTTAAGCTGTCGAACTACGCACAGACGCTCGAGAAATTAGAATTAATCGTGAAATTTCCAGGGAACGTGCACAAACGAGGAACGCCGCTTCGATTATAAACGATGGCCGATTATCTAATTTAGCGCGTCAGAACGATAATTTTTTTGATAATCAGAGGAAAGAGAAATGTTGGAACTTTCGCTTAGAATAATTTGCGTGCTCGTCGAGCGAAGATTCAATTTTTTCCCCTCGATACGGTGAACAGAGATATGGCGATCGTTGTCAAATTTAATAACGGTTGCAATCGATCCTTGAACGATCTCGTTCATGAAATATTAAATTCGAAGACGACCGAAGAAGACATCGACGGGCCAATCAACATAAGTATCGCGCATCCTATTAGTCAGATCCATTTCTATCAATACTGTTGCGAATAGTCTTACATTGTTTATCTTAAGATTTTAACACTGTTTACAAGATAACGTTTTTTCATAATAATTGTTCTTGTACATCTTTTGTAGACACTCTACGGCGAGTACACTTTGTATAATGATTTCGTTCGAGACCCTCGCGGAAGAACGGCGTTTTGGCTTTAATTTTGGAAAATTTAGGGTCGATTTACAGAACAAAGAAAAACTCACGAGAGAAGAATGCCAAAGAGACAAGAAATGCTAAGATTTCTACACGATGTTCAATGAAATTGAATATTCTTTTAAGCAATTTCAAGGGAACTCGTGCGCGAATGTACGATGATTTTTTATTCGATGCGGACTTTGCGAATTGGTTGCTTCGCACAATGAGAACGACGCGTTTCATCGAAATTGTTGAAATTTCCTTTTCTCTCGAAATGTTTTACAATGATCGTAGGCATTGGCCAAGAAAATTGTCTTTTCGAGAATTAGATTTTTATCTGTAGATCGTCATTGTTTGAGGAGACACTTTTCAACGCGTTGCGAGTCGTATACATAGCACAGCGTGAATTTTATTTTTTCCGCCATACTCGTTCGAATTTGCAATCATGTCAATGATTCCGAGAAATCATCGTCACACAAGGATCACGACGAATCCGTGTTGTTTTGTGCATTTAAATTTCTTTTTATAATGCCACATTGTGATTTGGCACCGGAACTTAGGATATAATTTTTCATTGGAATTGTCGGATAGAATTGTTGTTCGGTAACGGTGTAAAACAATTCCAAACGTTTCGATATTGTTTTACGTGTCGTTGAACTTTGTCGAGAGAAGTTTTCGCCGTTCGTTACAAATTTTATTTTAAATTGGAAAAAATTTTAATCCGCGGTACGAAAACGTTTTCAAAATACGATCGAACGATACGTCGTAACATATCTTTGGAAAGCATTTATATTGTATTACGCATCTCGATGCATCGTTTCCGGAATATTCCGTTGAACCTTGCGCACGCAGCGACGCGAGAACACCAACGCACGATGACAATCCTCCTTAAAAAAAATAAATGAAAAAAAAAAACGTAACGATCGTAGTATAAAGACGAGTAATTTTCACGGGGACCGTGAGAAGCTCGTTGCACTCGACTGGAAGAAAAGTGCACGAGCTGCTTGCATTATCTTTGCACAATAAAGGCGGACCGACGCGCAAAGGCTCGTCTAAAAATAGGGATCAAGAGTACGCGAAGAATCAACGAGAACGACGTTATTTTTCACGGACTAGAATAAAGAAGACTGACAAGCGCTCGAACGATGGGTGTTCGAAATTTTCGCAAGATGTTCCCGACGAGGTTTTTCCGTTCGTTTCCTCTCGACATGATTGCAAATTCGACGCGATTGCTCGCGTTTTTCACGTACGCAGGTCCATCGCATACTCACACAGTTCCATTCGCGCTGTTCGATTTTTAATCGTCCTTTATCCCCATCGCGAAGTCGCCGTCACACTTCTGGATCGCGAAAAGAAATTGATAATTTTCCCCCTCAGGAGGGAGAAGGTACAGAATTCAGAGCGGCGAGCTTCCCGAAACTTTTACAGCGATTCGAGGAAACTCTTTAATACTGAAAGCATAGGCGTTAAGGTACTCTCTCTGTAACGTAACGTGTAAGGGCTGTCATGCATCACATAATGAATTAATTGCGACTAAAGCAAAGGCAACCACCACTATTACAATACGATAATAAGCAAAAATATGCCCAAAGAGACGTATACACGATGCAACCCCGAAAAGTTTCGATCGACAATCAAGCCAAGTCGAAAAGTCGGTAACCGATCCCAAAGTCGAACCACTCGAGCAAACTTTCCGCGCGTCTCGTTTCTGATCGTCGATCGGGATTCTTCTCGACGCTCGGTATACTTCAGAAAATAAGTTACAATTAGGGAGCAACCGAATACGTGGCGTGTATGAAAGCAAAAAACGCTGTACGAAGAATTCTGCGACTGAGTGTGCACGTTCGATTAATGTCAGTTGGCGTGAAAGACAGAGCGAGTGAGTGAGAGAAAGAGAGGGAGATCGGACATTTATAAATCTATTATTGTAATAATTATAGAGACAGTGGAGCATAATGTATCTGTACGTTTCTTTACTTCCTGCGGTGAGCCAGAAAGCAGTAACGTAGTTCTTAAGAGCACGCGAAAAGAAAAAAAAATCGTATAACGTATATTACGAAGTTAAACGAGTTAAACGAACGGAAAGGGAAATGGTCGAATAGAAACAAAAAGAACGGCAGCTGATAGGAGGAAATAAAAAACGGAGGAAAATGGTTCGACGCGAGATGCGACGGAAAAAAATTTCGTTCCGATATCATCCTATATAAACGTATAAAGTTATCATGAGCTTTTTGCCAAGCTTTTGCGAGGACGCGGACGATTCGAGCAGAATTCCCATCCGTTGTCCTCGAGGAACGACGAAAGACGTAAGAACGTCGGAGACTATTGTTTCGTTTGCAAGCAACCGATCGTCATTACACATAATTACGGATTAATTATTCTTACTATTAATTACAGTTCACCAGATCATCGCCATCATCGTTATTATTATTATATAATTGATGTGAGTGTGGACAAAAAGAAAAAAATAAAGTGTACGTAGTAGAAGCTCCATCTACTTTGCCATCCGTCGTTTAGGTTAATTCTTCTACGGACGTTTTTGTTTTTTTCTTCCGATTTCGTTGATTAAATTTCACCTTTATGAAGAACAAACATATTTTAAAGGGTCTACAATTTTTATTCGATGACAGGAAGTTTCTTAAAAAATCTATTTTTTCTTGTAATTTCAACGCACAGGAAATTAGAAGGTAACAGTTTTATTTCAAAACGCAAAAAAAGAAGTACAGAGTTTCGGTACAACTCAACTTATAAAACCTACGGAACGATAATTATCTGCAAGAAATCATTTCTTACAATATACAAAATTGCTCATTTTTTTATGTTTTTTATTTTTTATCAATTTTAACGTGCACAAGTTGGTTTCTAAGTTAGAATATTTCTTGATGAATCGTATCATACTTTCAAATTCCTTTCACTTTTCTTGAACGACCTGCATTTCCAAATTTTTCCTCGTTTTCCAGACTTTTGTGTCTGAAATTTCGTTTTCCTGGTTACCAATATCGTCGATCGATAGTGCTTCCGGTATTCCATTTGTCTCTGAGTCCCTATCCGAAATTTCTACAACTTTTTCAGTTTCCGCGTTCAATTCATTCTTTTCGGTGGCGCACTGCGCGAGATCAACGTCGTTGATGTCCTGTACAGGATCCTTCCGCATCAGGTTCATGAAGAATTTTCTACTATCGTCGAATTGCTAAACCCAATAGCGAATATTAAGACCATTAATAAAATTGCCAATCTGGTAAGCATAATCAACGAATTACAAATTTCTTTCTCTACAATATCGATGTACACGTTTACGCCTTGACGGTCGCACGTTATAATAAAAACTTCTAAACTGTTTGCTATTTCAAAAAATGTTAATTCACCATTTTTATAAACACTCAAGTATTTCCACTACATACTATAACAATTAAATAAAATTAAACAAATATTATTCGTTTGGAAATATAGTTTTTCTCGTTATCCCAAAAATAGTTTAAAAGTGTGGAATTGTATAAGTTAAAAATTGAAAATAAAAGAATTCAAATTTTTTACACAAAAATAAGGCACACGAGAATGCTAGAAATGTGATTATAAGAAACCGTAAATGTAGATAGATAGCATAATGAATGCAAGACTGAAATCTGAATCAAATTGAATTAATCGAATTAGTGATGTTGATTTAGTGATCGAAAAAGTTAAATCATGTACATGTGACCGTGGCCATAAAAGTGTTAAAACAAAAATAAAAGAAATAAAGATTAATGGTAAAAATTTCAAGTACTAACAAGTTCCTGATTGCAGGTGACGGATGATTGCTGAAGGAACGATTTTCTTACGGCCATGGCGTCCCTGGAAATCTTCATCAACTTTTCAGCCGATTTTCTGGCCTTCTCCATTTGTTCCTCGCTTTTTGGAGCACTTATACTCTTTAATATTCTATCTTTTAACACCGTGTCCATCGTAGAATCTTCAGCATGGACAGGTGGTTCTTCAAGTCCTTCAATGTCGTCTACGTTTGTTGGATTCTGTGAAATCTCCTCGATCAATGGCTTTGTTTGTTTCTTTTTCGACTGTTTGGTCTCCCTTGACGATAGAACGTCGCGTTTCTTTTCCTCGAGATCTATTTTGCTGCCCTTCATGAAATCTGGTTCGATCAGTAGCTTCCTGCCGCTCTTTAGCTGCTCCAAATGCTGACAAAATTCTTGATAGAAATCCAGACCGTTCATTATCAACGAATCTCGTTTTTCGGCAATTTCAGACTCTTTCAGAAGCTGCGTGATCGATTGTATGTCTGAAATAAAATTTTCGTCCAAGTATTCTAAAATTTTTGAACTTTCAAAGCGAATTTTATTTTATATTAACGTATTAGTACGGGGATTGATTAATAAGTAAGGTCTCCAAAGCAAAAAAACTTTATTTTGAGATCATTTTCATTAATCCCTCTTATCTCAAGCATATTTTATAGGGTTCGAAGGCCTTAGTTATGAATGAACCCTCGTACTTACAGGTAAAGATTAATAAATAAATTAAAATTTGCAAATTAACAAACATGCTACCATATTATTATTTTATTTTGTACTTACCCTTGTCGTTCCGTACGGATTCTTCTTCTTGCGATCGTTCGTTGGATGAAATAGGTTTTCTAGAATTTTCTGAAATATCGAGAGAAGAACATTTTGTTGAAATTAAACCTACCGCCGTACTCGTTAAAAAATCTGTCTGATCGCAGTCGGTGGATTTCCAATTTCCCTGAGCTTTGTTCGTTATCAAATTCTCTATGCATTTGTCGATCAACGACGATTCCTTTCTCATAAATTTTCTCGCCTCTCTCATTAAATGCTTTTTACATTTATTCGTCGTGTCTCTGCCATTATCTCGATCGTTCGGATTTGTTTCAGAATCCACGTCTTCGATTAAATGCGACTTTTTGCTGGCCACGTTTAAATACTCACAATCGTGTGCTCTTTTACAAGATTTTGAAACGTGATTCGACTTATCCGCGCGGAACGAAGCTATCAGTGCATTTAAAGCCTGAATATCAGAACTCTGACCTTTTTCCTTATTTTTTTCAACCTGGACATTTATCGAAGACTCCTTCTTTTCTAGTACATTACCAACAACATCTAATTTCTTAACAGAACACATCGTTTCCTCGTTAACTTGTACGAGTCTCTCATGGAGATCAATCACAGTTTTCACGGATTCGTTATCCGAGTCATCGTCATCGGTCGAATTCACAAATGTGACCTCGTCAGAATTCACTTCCAATATATCAGTTTGAACAGGTTCTTTTTTAATTGAACATCGTTTGTTTTCTGTCTTTAAATTGTTTGTGTTTGACAGAATCGTGCCGGTAGAAACGCATCTTCTTACACTACTGGAATCTCGTGCAATTTCTTCGGCAGTCTCCTCGGTTTCTTCTATAGCAAATAATTCGTGAGAGCTGTGCGATTTCGGCGCCCTCTCGAATTTAGTGTTTTTTAGATTTTTATGATCCAGTTCGTGAAACAGAGAATGAAACACGGCCATAGGTGCTTCTTCTTTTTTTTCTTTTGCAGGCGATTTACACAACGTGGAATTATCTTCATTTTCGGGGTAAGTTTTTACATCCTGCATAATAAGCTTGGAACACAACTTTAAATTTAGCATGTCGTAAACTCCTTGCGAGGATGTAACTTCCCTCTTCTTTTCTTCGGCTCTTTTATTCTGCGAAGCTCGTTCGTCCGAAACTTTTTCTGGATCATCTTCAACGATGTCAGTTTTTCTAATGTTATGCAAGTCTTCGGTAACCACTGTAACCTCTGTTTTCTTCTTTGCTTCTTCTTCTCTTCGTTTCATAATTTCCACAACCTTCGACTTTCTTTCCTTCGTATTCCACCCTTTAAAATTATCCTCTCCTTTTATCGATATCGAAGACTGTTTCTCTTCCTGTTTGTCGTTCGTATCGGGCATAGATTGAGAATTACCGTACTCTTTCTCGCCCCAGAATCCTTCAACGTAACCATTCTTAAAGCAGATTTTATTCTCCTCGACGAACTTGTCCATGTCGGCACAGAACTCTTTCATGTCCTTTCGTATTCCGCTCAACTGACTGCTCAAAGGATGTCTGTCATTCTTTCTTTGATAATCGTTTATGATGTCCTTGCACGAGCCTTGATTCTCCATAATTTTCATTTCCTTATTTTTCACGATGTCATTACAGTCCAAATTGTCGCGGGAAATGGACGAACTTTTAAAAAGCTTCGTTTGATCGTTTGCTGAAATAAAAAAGTATTATTAGCTGAGCCGACTGCTCGATTACCAAATAAGAACAGCACGAAGCGTTTCTGTAACGCCCGAAATATTTCGTGAGCCGTAACGAAGTTTTTCTTGTAATAATCGTATTCGGAAATGGTATGTAATTTACTATCGTCGTCCTTGTTCTGGTCGGTCATGCAAGATCCAGGAGCAATTTCGGTCTCGTTGGTCGTCCCCAGGACAAGTTTCTCGTAATGGGCCAGTTCTCTTCCCAGAGCATAACCACCTCGTGGATCGTTGATGCTTCTTCGCTCGTCCAAAATTTTCTTTCCTTGCCTCTTCGGATCAACGTATCCCACCGCGTATTCCTCCGTCTCCGTTATTTCTTCTATCAACTTCGGTGGTGTCTCCAATATCTTAGAAAAAGAAACGGGACCCAGCATCGAGCAAACGCGGTTTGATATACGCAAAATAAAAGGGTTTCAATATTTTCACTAATACATAATATTAGTAAGTAATTGTAATATATAACATGGTGTTTACAAAGATTAGGATAATCAAAACTTGTGCCTAGCGTATAACTACATTTCTGTGGGCAAATGGAAAGTGCGACAAGTGTGAAACATGTATTTAAAAAGTACAATTTGTTTTTGTATCTATAATAAAAAATATTTAATGATGACACCTTACCAAATAGAGTATTCGAATTAATATTTGTTAATGGCGAAAGTACAAAGTACTGAAACACTGGTATAAAATTCTATTAATGTTGCATTCATTCATTATTTGTATATTTTTACGGAATTGTGCACAAATGTCGCATTTAAATTACCTCGATGATGATGTGACTATGGCAGGTATTTCTATACCGTACTTGTCATTGTCTGAGGGGTAATTCACATCAATTGAAGAAACCATAAAACTCAAAACATAGTACCTCTAACTAATATAATTTGTAAATATAAATATTTAATTTGTAAAATATGTATAATATAGTTTTTCCGCAAAGCATAGTACATACGAGGAAATAATGTCAAGATCTTGAAGATTGGCGAGCTCAATGAGAACATTACAATAGAAATGCATAACGTGGTAAGCAGAAATGTTTAATAAAAGGAAAGAAATTATCGAAGCTTTAGGGCTGCGTTTTTTAGTCTATCTATGTCAAAATTCCAAGTGAAAAGCGAGTTTATGTTGGTTTAAGTTTGGCATGGTTTAAATGGAACTTGAAAGCATTAGTGCGAGAAACACCAAAATACCTCTGTTCTCCGGGGTAACAAAAGCTCGGGAGCGATCTCGGTGTAGGCTTTCCTTTCTTTCTCCGCCATTGGCCTCCTTCCGTCACTTTTCTCAGCTCCTTTTTGCCCCGTTCCATCGTTCTCCACCTCTTCGTCCGATGACGAGGACGCGGAGGAACTGCAGGAGGATGAGACGTCCGACTTTTTCTTCTTCTCCAGGTTGAGCTTGAAGGTTCATCAAGCCGGCACGAGGGGTTTCACGTGGTGAATGATCAAATAGTCGATGGGGCCGATGGGTGATATTATTCGAAGCACGAATTCTGTACCAGACCTTGACAAAACTAGTTCTTACCAGTTCTTTGCTCGTGCATACAAGCTTGGCTACTTCTTCGTCCTCCTTCGTCTTCTTCTTACCCTCCGCCTCCTTTTCGGACGTCCCGACCGGTTTGTACAGCTTCCTTTTGTTTATCAGGGCTTTCGAGGGCGGACGCAGGTCCACGGGTAAACAGAGATAGATCGAACGGATGATAGATTAGGTTGATTTATCATTTCTCTAGGACTCGTCGCGATATACACAGTGATTCTAAACAAACGTCATACGATTTGCAGGTGTACTTTGCGTCTCGAATCTGAGAAAAGCGTTCTAAAAAACATGGCTACAAAAGTTTGGGTCCAAGGCTTTTTTTCGAAGATAAACTCCGAAGTTTCTGAAGAATTTCAACAAATAAAAGTGTTTCCGTTGTGTAGAGAATCGGGCATGAAAATAGATTGCTTTGTTAGAATCTAATACCAGCAATGGTGAATTGAGATAAGCTCAAAAAATGGGTGGGAAGGGCTAACAACAAATTACAAAAAAATTTAAGATTTCGAAGATTCGAGAATTTCACCCTCAGGAGTTATAAATGGAAATATTAAAGTCTTATACAACATTTGTCGACGGACAGACATCAGCTCAAAGTGATTAAAATTCAGATAATATATTTCTTTTAATCGATAGGAAAGGACTCAAGTTCCTATAGATTCCCTCCCTTTGTTTCCAATACTGGATACCAGTGCACTATTATTTTATCACTGATGTTTGAATAAATGTGTAAAGAATTCTTTCTTTCTCCGTTATGTGCTGTTTACAACTATTATCAATTACCATAACGCTTGTGTTTAAATCGAATCATGATATCAGAATCAAACCTCCGTTAGCATTTAGGCGTCCTTGAAGATGGATAGATGGGTCCGTCGGAGGATCTCTGGACTGCGAGGTGTTGGACATTTTGATAGAAAACGTTCTAGGTTTATTAGAAAATATTCTGTTATCAGAAAGAAAAAGAGAAGTGGTTTCACGTTTCATGTTTCTTGATCGTAAATTTCATAAAAGGTAAACAGGTTGCGACGAACCAATTAACTAGCTGTTTGATTTAAATTTCCTGGATATCTATTTGTAGATCCATTTGAAATCAGTGCATGCAATATGATCAGAAACACTCTGAATATTAAGAGGATGGTCTTGTTCTTCGCATTGGACGCCATTTTGAACACCTACTCCAACGACTAATTCCCTTAGGATAAGTGAAAACAAACACGATATATTTCGGAAATAAAAGGTTTCCAAACTCATATTTAATAGAACTTTTTTCTTAGATCCAGAGTGCAGAGCACGCCTGTAAATTTTGCGATGTTTGTTTAGAATCACCCTGTATACTTGGGCGAATAAAGATAGAGGATCGTCGAAACTTTCGATTTTTACTTACCTTGCACGCTATCGTTGATTTTCTTCTGCTCCGCTTCGATCCAACGCCTCCTCTCGGCTACTTCTTCGTCTGGTCCTCCACGCATCCTGTCTTGGTGACATTTTTGTTAATATTAATCATTTCAGTTTCACGTCGGTATCTTATATTTCACGTTTCAGCTAAGGCAATATGTAAATTTTTCGTCGTTCAAGTTGTTCGTGGTTTCTTAGAAACCGAAGGGTGTTAACGCTGTTTAAAGCAGAGATGCACAACATACGGCGCGCCGCATTGATTTAATATGGCCGACGACCTGTTTTGAATAAAAGAAATAACTCTGTTAAGTCTGGCATGACAAAGTTTGGATCACCAGATACCTATAAAAATGAAATTGTTTATTTTAACGACTATCTTAGGAACAGATTTTTGACAAGAGAAACTATTAGGTTAATACTTTATTATAAACTTTCACTGCATAACCTACTACTATTCACAATTAGACAAATGGAAAGCAACCATACAAATGGGTGCCACTGATATTTAGAAAACGAGTTATTCCGTATTAATATAAAACAGTCACAAAAATTTATTCCATGTTTACGTAAAACGACCAATTAGAAATGTAATTCGCCAGTTTTTAGAGTAATTCCTACAACTATTTCATGCGTTGTAGATAATTTACCCTTAAATATGAATGAAAAGAAAAGACAAATTTATTTCAAATACAGACAATTTAAAAAAAAAAATGACAGAAATATTCGTCTATTGATATTAAACGTGAATCTATTATAGAAATGCAATATTCTTGTATACATATCACTGAATAATTCTAAACAGAGGTAGGGATATTTTTGTTTAATATTCAAATTTTAAAAACTGGATCCTGCTTAATTATTAACACGGTCGATATTTAAGTTGTGCACCCCCGGCTTAAGAGCATGATTCGATAAGGGAAACATCCACGCTTATCGATTATCAAAATGAACTATGATTTACCAAGCTTCTGCGCAAGCACGATCCCGCGGGAACACTGGTCTGTCGTCCAAATATTTTAGGTTCTTGCATTTCAGGATCATTGTCTTTCGATACAGCTGGATTCTCCTCAGAACTGGGTTTCCCATCAAAGACAACACGCACAATCCTTTCATATCTCCCATGACCTATAGTTTTATTTATTTAACACTGTGCTCGATACGCGCAAAACGCTTTGTCGATTATATTTATAAAATTACGCATACGCGAAAGTATTCAAACATATTTGCAAATTTTAACAACTGAAATGTACACGTTAAATTCAAGCGTTTAAGACTACAATAGAACTCCATTTATTCGAACCAGTCGAGGGTCAACCTAGTTTGGATGTGGTACTGATAATATGAAAAATTAGAATTGTCGAGAACATTCAAATTTTTTAAATGAAATTTGGGAAAAGGTACCCTGGTATCTGGTTATTGATATAAGGGTTAACCTCATTTTTTCCGACCAGATTTCCATACAATATATACAAAATATGAAAAAAACGGTATACTTAAATCCCCAAGTTGTGATTATGCGAGAACAAAAAGCTTGTTAATGACGTCGCTGAAAATGTGAATGAATTTAGGAATTGTTACGATGATTATTTCCAAGATGACGTTCCCTTATTTTCTAACATTTACACCAAGACCTCCGGTAAATCTTTAGTAAAACAATTATTCATCAAATTTCCATGTTTAACGATCAATTGAATAATATTACATCCTCGTAGTTAAGAGGCGGTTCGAACGCTAAATGCGTGACGCGTCTCGTTATAAAATGTAACGACCGCTTTCGTAAAAGTTTTAAATTACATCACTCGCGTCCCGAGCACCCGAGGTAGCCGTCGAAGAGACGCCAGAGGCATACGATTAAGGAAACATAACGGACTCACATTAACGACTTCGTCGGTGTCTATCCTGTTGTGAGATATATCGAGTATCGAGAGACTGTCCAGCAATCGGAGATGCTCAATGTCAGCGGTTTCTTGTAGGTAGTTGTGCGACAGGTTTAGAGTATTCAGGAACTTCAGGCTATCTGAAAGCAAAGGCACGTCAAGGTCAAGGTCACCGAAGATATCCACCGTCGACTCGAATCACCAAGATTCTCGATTCGCCGTATAGTGTTGTGAGAGAGGTTCAGAGTATCGAGTTTGGCCAGGTGCTCGAGATTCTCGATTTTGCCGATCAGGTTGTTATGAAGGTACAAGCATCGCAGGTTGCTCTGGTTCTCCAAATTGGCAATCTCACGGATCCCGTTGTTCTGCAGCCATAGACACGACAAACCCGTATACTTCTCCAGGTTCTCGATGAAGGAGAAACCTGCAACACGCATCTTTTTTTTAACTCACGTTCCATCTACCAGACACGTGACTTTTCAACACTTTGAGAATCGAGTGTACTTCGTTGATGTTTTCAGTGGGGCTCCAAATGGTGTCAATGTCATACTCACAGATTTATAGGCTACAAAATTATGACCAACTGAAAGATTACAATCACATCTTTCCGAGAATTATCAGCTATCGAATTAATCAAATTTCTTTAAAGTATTCGTTCTGCCGTTGAACCGTAAGAAACGTAAACAATTTCTAATTCGATTAGAAGTGAAAAAAAAAATAAAAAACGACGTATTGCCCTATGTCTTTTCCATAGAATTTCGAGATTCAAAATTCTAGACGGGTGTACACTACATACATAATACCTAAAAGACTTTTTAATGGCCTTTTTAGGTGGTCTGCTTCTTAGAGCAAGAAATCCTTATTTTTGAGGTTAACCTTTGCAGTGAAGATACAGCACGTTGTTCAGATACGGTGTCTGATAAAGCTTTTCCAATTTGCAGTGGTTCTTGATCAAATTCTCCGTCATCCTAGAATCAGACAGCATTTACTTTACCAAACATAAAGTTGTTACATCGTGAAAATGTTGTTAGATAGTCATTGCTACGCGGCAATGGACTTTTAATTCTACCTCACGCCGTGTTTCTTCTTGTCAAAATCGTAAACTTTTCCTTTGATGTACGTTCTCTCCGGTTCTTTCCACGTCTTCCAAAACAAGGAGTCTTCGGTATCAGCGATAATGTCCTCGACGATACTGCTGATCACCGTTTCAGTCGGATTCGAAGAATCAGTCTTTTCCGGTTCATCAGATTCCAGATTCTCTTTAGCTATTTCCGATGAAATTGTCGTGAAAATACGAGCAACCTTGCTTTTCTCTTCGTCGACGTTTATTTCAGGATCGATTGCTACTTGGTTTCGAACAGGCTCCTCGGTTTCGTTCGCCTTCGGGATGACTTGCAAACATTCTAACAATAACTCTGCACGACGCTGTTCCTCGTCTATAACATCTTTCCGCATAGTTTTGATCTTGAAACTCTCAGCTACCTCGTCCTTCGTCAGAGGCATTTCGAAATTATCTGTTTCTGCGTTCGTTTCGTCCATGCTTTCGTCAGATTCGTTGTTATCCCTGTTGACAGATTTGACGCCAGGCGACGAGCTTTCCTCGAAAATTCTTTGTTCCGCTACGAGCCTTTCCACCTCGTTGAACTCCATCGAGAGATTCTTCAGCGCTTCGTTCTTCCTATCCTCTATTTTCGCCTTCCCTTCAGCGATCATCTTCAACGTTTCACGAATCTCTTCTTCCGATTTGGGACAGTTCGATTCTGTAATCTCTGCTAACTTCTTCAGGTAATTTTCCGGAGACGTTACCTTCGTTTCTTCCTCTTTCCCATTATCCTGTTTCAAATACGACTTTGCTACACAATTTTCCTCGTCCTTCTTTTCCGTTGCGTTGCAATCACTCGCATGATTGTCTAATGACGTTTGCTCGGCCTCGGACACTTCGTCGATCAAAAGCTTTAATACGTTCGACCGATTCAAAACTGATTCGAACTCTGGCTCTTTAATAGTCTCCCTGAATTTGATGTAGTTGGAGATGTTCGCGTTGGGCGAGGAATAAATTAGATTTTCCATTTCATGGTCGAAGTCGCTCGAAACGTCGAAGTTTGGCAACGGTTGCTCTTCTTCGATCGTCTTTTCTTCACTAACATCTTTCGAGCAACGATCGTTTGTAATCGCATTCTCATCTTGATTCTTGGTCGTGTTGTCAGGGTCGACGCTTATTATCTCGATTGTAGAAAGTTTCGAGACGATCGAAACGTTGTTCGTCGTTTGGTCCAAGGAATCCAAGTTTTCACAGACTTGTTCGATACATTGTTCGTAGCACGAATTGTAACAACAGCTCTGTGTTGCGTTCTCGTTTTGGACTGAAGTTTCTCCATCCTCGGCATCATCGAAGATCAATGTGTTATCCGTATCGCTATCGCTGTCTTTCTCCGCCGTTGTCGAATTATAGTGGGACAGATTCTCGCAAGTAACGTCGAACATAGTCTCGCAGTCCGAGTAGGACAACGAGTTAGGGTTGTCTACGTTGTCGACTTCCGGTATCGATTTTGATATTAATTTACTGATCGACACTCGGTCGTCGGAAAAGTACTCTTTCTTTTGTAACTCTGTTTCCATCCTTGTGAAAATCTCCATCGACAGGGGCGCCAGTACATCAAGGTCCACCGACGACTCCTTAAGCGCCTGTAAAAATAAAGACAAAGATAAAGTTTTCCGAATCCTTTAATAATTTCGTATCTTTTTTTCAGTAAAATACGACAGCAGATATCATTACGCGTTTCTTTAGGTTTAATGATTGTCCGGAATTATTCTAAATCGCTTAGAAAGAATAATTTATTCCTGACTCTTCTTTGTTTCGATAATTTCGTGCAAAACACATATTTAAGATTGTAAAATGTTAAATTTCTTAACAACAAAATAAAAAATACTTCGTACGAAACTACTCGATTTCTACTGGACTATAAAAACCATAACATAAATTCTTAATATTTTCATTATATGAAGGAAACAGAATTTTCTTTCGTATTAACAACAGAAGTGAGGACAATAGGGTTAGACCCCACACATACATAATTTGTGAAGTATTAATCTTATTTCTTAACTTTTACTCAGAATATGAAGAGTGACGACTTATTAAAAAACTCACTATAACAACAGATTCTAAACAATTTACTTACCTGTGTTTCAGATAAGGAGACATTGCTAACGAAAACATCGAGCTTGGTCTCCGACGAAAGTTTCTTCTCAATGAAGTTGGATTGAAAATCACAGTCCTTCTCCATTTTAACAAAAAATATCTCCGAACAATAATTACACGATATTGAAATTAAACTTTCTGCAACTCTTCGGTTTATTAAAATTTCAGGAAAAATATATTTCGTCGCGGCCGCCAGCTGAAACACACAAGATGCTCGTAATGGCGGGGTGCGTTGCTCAGATTTCGTTTGATCGATATTTGCAGATCGATATGACACTATATACTTTGCTGCAAATTTCAAATTTAAGGGTTTCGTCCTATTAATCACCTTTTTTACCATTCAGGTGCATATTTTCGAGTTCCTGTGATTTTTAGCCCTTTAACTGCGAAAGTGTTTTTTTTTTATCTTAAATATATATAATATTTTTATTATTTCTGGTAATATAGAAAAATCGCCTTTGCATCGACTTGTAACAACGACATTTACACCGAATATTTCAGCGATATGTTTACATTTAAGAGTTCCGTTTCTTCATAATGTTACTATATGTCTTAATACTCAGTTTCTCGCAATCAGTCGAACAAAAAGGTAAGCAAGTAAAATAAAAATAAATATGAAACTAATTTTGTCAGACTACTTAAAAAAAATCACGCCTCTTTTGAACCAACGGTTTGTCGACGCGTCAAATTGTGAAAAAATCCAGTGTTGGTCAATCAACAGTTTAAAGAATAAGACAAAAATATTGTAAAAATTTAGTATTAAATGTTAGAGGAAGACCAAAAATATTATAATCGCCAGACGAACGAAGAAAAGTACGATTTGTCGTATCTGATGAAACTTCGAGTAGCAATACGGCTGCAGAATTATTGAGGGAAGACACAATACACACAGAAGCATGTATACGACGCAACGGATTTTAGAAATATAAACTTGACTGAATAAAATTTGAATTAATCAAAAGAAATTTGAGCTGATAATTCTCGGAAAGATGTGATAGAAATCTTTTGGTTGAGCATAATTTTGTAACCTAAGTATGATATCAACGCCATTTTTGGGCCCTATTGAAATAAAAACTGGACAATTGCTGGATGGGAACGGATCATTTGATCAAATGAAATGAAAATTAACACGATTGAACGCGACGTAAAGCGAAGGGTAAATTTAAACTTCTACTCTATCAATTTGTATAGTATTTTATCGAATGTTTTACAAATGTTTTAGCTTAACAGCATCTACCCCCAAAGAAACATGGACGAATTCTTGAAGACCCTGTCGCCATTTGGAACTCGGAAATAAGAAGCACCTGATTGCCAGGGGGCTAGACTTTGTTATTTTGTTTATAGGGTATCTTGTCTCGTATCTATTCCTCGGATACCTCGCTTTGCTTTCGTTGCGTCTGGGTGCCCCCCGATGGCATTTGTTTTTCCACTCGGTTTCAGCCTGAACCGACGATGATGTTCGTGAATGAATGCTATCAACATAATTCAGCGGAAAAAGCTCAGCACCGATTCGCAGGCGTCGCGACGAATCGAGATCGATGGATTCGTTGCTTTCAGCGAGTCGACCCGCATCCTACTTTTTCCCTCAAGGCGATCTCCGGTCGTTTGCTTGCCAAGACGCATCTTTCTGCGCAGCTACCCGTCTTCGCCTCCCCTCCATCGTCTTTTCACCCCGATAATGACAGCGTTGCCTCACGTCTCGACGCTTTTAGTACATCTCGGGCTGGTCCGCCTATGCCACCACGTTCCGAAGATCTCCAGCAGGAAATCTACCCCTGGCTGCACCACACCAGGTGCCACAACCCAGAATTATTAGCCTTCCCAACGCTTTCCATATCATCGAAGAAGGGTACTCGAGCCACTCATCTTAATTCCAAATACAATTGTATGTAAAGACATTTTCTCTTGGGTTTTTTTTGTTCCGGTTGTGTCTATAATTTACCAGCAACACAACCGGGTCCATGAGCCGGTCCCAATGGTGACAAATGATTTCGTTTTTCAGCATTTACCGTGCAAAATTAGCAAATTCGGTTAAAAGGCAAAGTAACAAAACAAAACTATTACAATAACTTGCCAACTTGTCACAAGCTTGGAAGATTACTTTTGAACGCTACTAAGCGAGCGGGAACCCACCTCCTCCACCAAAAAAAAAGTAACTATTTCAGTATTTAATAACAGTTTTAATTAAAAAATGAGTGGCTTTCGTCTCTTCGTTAAACAAGTGTTAGATAAGTAGGAAATACCATTAAAACAAAACTAAATTCAGTATTTGGTCTTAGTACCAACAATAAAATATTGAATAGTCATAGAACGTTGTAGAACTTTGGTTATTGCTGGGAATGAGTAGCCTCATGCCCTATATCCCCACTATTTATTGCCCGTACGTGGTATTTCCTAACTTACTTATTGCTTAGCGACCATCCCCTCCACTCGTCGACGCTATGTAATGAATCAAACTGTCATGCATAAATCGAGGTTCTACTGTACCTCGAATGTTTGACATATTCGATGCATTACAAACGATTATACTTGTTATTGGTAATAGCTAAATGTATAATAGGCATAAATTATTTGCTTATAATTTTGCAATATTTGAGTCGCGTAATGTCAAAGGCCACTATTTTCTTTGGGATGAAAGCCGACAGATAATATAATAAACATTTGCAAACTAGACAAGAGTTTCGCTCAACTTAGTTAACAACTCGCTAGAAAATAATAGATTTATGGAAAGCAGGCATTCATAAAAAATGTGCTTCGATGCACACGTTGGTAAGGAAAGAAAGTAAACATAGGAGAGTAGAGAATTCCAGAGGGTCGGCATTATTGCTGAAATGGCGAAAAAAAACCTCGACCTTACGAAGTTAACTGAATGATACATTTGTTTCCATGACGTAGCACAAGGCATCGAGCTAAATATTACAATAAGCCGGAGTAAAGTTAAATGGTTCAAAATCAAGTGAAAAATGCAAAACATTAATTATGGCAGGGTAAATATAATATTTTGGATAAAGATTTTAAGCAGTTTAATATTGTTCAATCTTCAAAACATAGGAAATTCATTAAATAAATAATATTATGAAAGACATCTAGTATCTATCACGAATGTGTAAAATTTAAATACGGCATACAGTGGGGGACAAAAGTATTCGTACACTTGGAATATAGAAATAAAAGCAACAATATTTTCTATATTATTAATTATATTCGAACATTTGTTGCTGTATATCATACATAACACTTATAACAACAAATTAGTAAAAAAATAAAGGCAATAATATCATTTAGTAACTTAATATGGATTGAAATTCACACGACGGTCAGAATTCGCTGGGACAAAAGTATTCATACATTATCATTTATGTTGATAAATACGATAGTTACGATGAAATCAGGACATCCCGATTAATGTTAATATTACATTAGTAGATTTCACGTTGGTCTGGGTTAGTACTAGTCCTGACGGGTAAATGTTAATATCAGATATTTGCAATATGGGGAGGAAAAGTAGTGAAACAACGTTAGAAGAAAGAAACCTTGTTATTCGGTTATACCAAGAAGGGAAATCATATAAAAATATATCAGAAATATTAAAAAGAAGTCGATCCACCATACAAAGTATAATAAATAAATATAAAAAAGAAGGAACATTACGGAATGAAGAAAGAACTGGTAGACCCCGAAAACTAAGTACTAGAGAAGAGCGTAAAATTGTTCGAATTATTAATCAAAATCCAAATACCAATGCATCGGAAATTGCATCAAACCTTCAACAATATATGCACAAGGAAGTACATCCGAAAACTGTATGAAGAGTGCTGCATCGGGCAGGATACAACAGTAGAGTTGCGAGGAGGAAACCCCTTATTAGTAAAGTAAATAAAAAAAAGAGATTAGAATTTGCAAAAGTATATATAAACGCTAGTGACGACTTCTGGAAGAATATAATATTTTCCGACGACTCAAAATTTAATATTTTTGAGTCGGATGGTAATAAAAAAGTGTGGCGGAGAACTAATACGGAATTGGATCCCAAAAATATGCAACCGACGACGAAATACGAAGGTGGACGTGTGATGTTGTGGGGATGTTTTGCTGCTTCTGGGGTCGGTAAATTAGTGATAATAGATAGGATAATGGATAAACATTTATATTTAAACATTTTAAATGAAAATTTACAAGAAAGTGCAGACAAATTAAGTATTGGCAGATCATTTTACTTTCAGCAAGACTGCGACCCGAAACATACAGCGTATACATATAGTGCGTCAGTGGTTGTTATATAATACTCCCCACATGTTAATAACTCCTCCACAATCGCCTGATTTAAATCCCATCGAGCACGTATGAGCGAAACTTGAAAAAAATATACGAAAACACGATATAACAAGTAAAGAACACCTGAAAGAAATATTAAAAAAAGAATGGTATAATATAGAACCAGACTGCGTAAAAAATTTAGTGTTGTCAATGCCTAATAGATTACAAGAAGTAATTCGCCAGAAGGGCTACCCTACAAAATATTAATTTAAAAAATTAAATGTATGAATACTTTTGTCCCAGCGATTTCTGACCGTCGTGTGAATTTCAATCCATATTAAGTTACTAAATGATGTTATTGCCTTTATTTTTTACTCATTTGTTGTTATAAGTGTTATGTATGATATACAGCAACATATGTTTGAATATAATTAATAATATAGAAAATATTGTTGCTTTTATTTCTATATTCCAAGTGTATGAATACTTTTGTCCCCCACTGTAGAAATTAGGGTCATATCAAATCAATAATTTATTATTTTAATTCTTCCTTAATTTGTAAATTAAACTTTTGTCCCCTCTATAAAAGTATACAAATAAGTAACAATTAATTTGATTTATTATTGCTATGATACTTTATTATAATACATTATTCTTAATCAATTTTCTTTCGCTAAACTTACAACTCTTTAAACAAAATAGTTGCTACTCGTTCATTTACATCATTAATTAAATACCTTCTGTTAGAGTTATGCATGATTTTAAAGTATCATTATGAGCTACTAATATTTAAGTTCACTCTCGAAATACACGATCCTTTAATTATTTGTCTACAATTTTTCAGAGTACTTGTCGTCTTATTTTTCTATCTCAGTTCCACCTC